AGAAGTTAATGCTAGCCCTCTGGATGCTGGCAGGTGCAACGAACAGAAAATCATATTTTCCTTTTTTCCCCCTTCCCTCTTCTTGTGTGTCTCAGATTGCAAGATTACAGAAGTTTCCTGCTTCAAGCAGAGCTTCAAAATATAATGGAAACTTCAGGGCAACTTGAGGAAAGAGCACGCAGCAGTGAGAGGAAGACTTGGGCAGATGATTCCTCTGACCTTCAGGTAGCTCACTTGAGCTTAAATCAACTTGACTCTTAACCTCCTGCAACTTAGAATAATAGAATTGTAGGGTTGGAAGGGATCCCAAGGGTCATCTAGTTCAGCCCCTTGCAAGACTTGTTTATGTCTGGTGTGTCAATATCATTTTTCTACAGTGGAAGGGAGTATGAGTTGTCCCATTGTACCGCCTACTTGCTCTAGTAAGTGGGGCCATGTAAATCAGGCTTGTCCACCATCCACCAGTGGGAGAAGACCCCTCCCCTTCTAGAAGAGTCTGTCTTGCTCTGATGTGCAGAACCTTTTCATGGAAATGTGTTGTTTTCTGGTGGCTGCCTTTTCATACCCCCCTTATGCAGATAGGGTGGGAAGGGGTTATTTATACGATGACTGGCACTTGGCCATTCTGAGCAAAATAATAATGGGCTTGCCAAAAGGTAAAAGGATGGGCAAAATGACCCCTGGTTCTAGATGAGCTGTTATTCTAAGACTGGAAGGCTCTGGACCCCAGACTACCTATTAATAATAAATAATAATAATAAATTTTATTTATACCCCACCCTATCCAGCCAAGACTGGGCTCAGGGTGGCTAACAACCAATAATAAAAACAAGTTGATTAAAATACAATTTAAAAAACAAGATTAAAATGCAACATTAAAACATTAAGATGCAGCCTTTTCACAGGAGGAGAAAGGAAAAAGAGGGAGATACATGGGTGATGCTGGCCCATGTCTCTGTTGTGTACCTGTGAAAGCTGTGAAGAACCTCCTGTCTGCAGGCCTAATAAAGCCTAGCAGTGGTTCTGGTTTGCTGTTTCCCCCAAGTCATCCTACCCACACTACACTGATCTCATCAGATGGAGGGCAGGTAAAGGCTCCTTGTGGAAGTGGGTTTTGCAGGAGCCTCCCATCAGTCGACCAGAGTACCCATGGAACGTTTTTTTGCCTGCATGGTTTGATTTCAGATCATTCAGGCAAAGGAAAACGCTTCACCTGACATAATGGGTGAAATAGGTTGTTGACTCATGGGCAGATGTGACCACTGAATGGAAACAGCCCATGGTGTTGGGGGAGGTCAAGTTCCAGCCTGCTGGTCAGATCCAGTTCCCCACCCTGCTGTATAATATGATACTATAACCTTCTTGTTCCTCCACTTTCAGTCTGCTTCATAGACTGTCATTCACTGAGGACAGGATAAGGCTATTGCAATGACACAGCATCGTGCTTTAACAAACAACACCAACATGTTATCAAAGAGACAAGATGTGGGGAGGGAAGCATAAGTCAGTCCCATCCATGGATCTACCAGTGATGTGCAATTTGGGCATCTATGCGGCATGCCCAAGTGCATTAGAGGGTTAGAGGGCAGGGCTCTTGTGTCCTGTTCAGAAGGGCTACTCTTGCCTTTTCAGCAGTAAGAAATGACCTTCTGCAAATGATGAAATTCTCTCTTCTACACAACTGTTCCAAGAGCAGCTGTGTCCTCGCTTGCATTTGGCCTCCTTCTTCTTCATGGTTTCCATTTTCTAGGTGAAGATTGAAGAGCTGGAAGAGATGCTGGATGGCTTGAATGAGGACTTCTTCCAGCTGACAGTGCAGGCCTTAACAATCCAAGAAGAAGAGGAACATCTGGACCGTGAACTCAGAGCACAAGAGGAGTCACCCTCATTTGCAGTATGTGCATACCACAATTTCATTGCAGGGGGCAGTGATGTAAATGACTATTATTTTAAATGCAGATGAATATGCCTTGACAGTGCTCCTTGTATGCAAAGTGCTCAATAACCCAACAACTACACAACAGCCCCATAAGGCTGGGCATTGGGTTTAAGACTAGGAACGAACTAGGGAATAATAATTTCTCATCCCTCTCTCAAACTCACTTCACACACATCATGTGGCAAGTGTGCTTGCTGCATGGATCCCTATGTCTACAGTGCTAAAAATGGCAACGCAAAGGAACATTTATTGAAACACTCTGGGGCATGTGGTGGATATAAACCAGGAAATTGTAAGTTAGTGCCCAAGAGAGTGAGGCTGGGTAGACAGATCTCACTCATTCTATGATGAAGTTCCTCACCCAACATCTACTAGATAATCTGTTTACATCAACCTTCCCCACCAGATGTTCCACTGCAGATGTTTTGGACTACCACTGCCATCAGCCAGCATATCCAAAACATCTGGAGGGCATCCAGTTGGTTGAAGGTTGGTTGCCTTCATTGAACACTCTTCAGTCACAAACTTGAAGCAAGTGCTTTGCAAGGCATCAGAACTGGAGGAAGGAGGCCACACAGTCTGGTTTGCTCTTCTTGAGTAGCACCAGAGTAATGAGAACCCAGATCTCCTGGTTTACAGCAGGTTTGGATATCTTGCCTCAACCACTATTCCAGTAATTGCTTCAGGACAACTCAGTGGCTTTCTTCTGCTTATTTCCCACTTCCTCTCCTTCTTCCCCACCCATTGTACAGTCTAAAAGTTGTCTTCTTGAGGAGAAAGCACAGCACTTCTTGGAACATCTTGAATCTTGGGCTGCCAAGAGAGACCAAAGTGTGTTGCTGGGAATCAAGAGAAGTCTCATTGCGCAGAAAATCAAAGACGTTGAATTGGAATTGGCTCATTGTCTGAAAATCCATCATGGTGGCCAGCTCAGCAGCTGAGGGGAGACTGGCCAAAACTCTGAACCAGCAGGGAGCATTTGGTTGACTGTGTTTATTTCTTGCTGGAGTGATCAACCCTTTACTTAAATACCTAACTCTCTTGGGACCTAAAGTATTGCAGTAGGAGTGATTCCAAGTAGCAAATTGGAGGCAACTTTTTTGGGTACCAAATGGTTTTAGGACATGTGGATTACAATCTGGGGTCTTCTTATCATTTCTCTTTTTAAAATATTTGGGATCAGAGAGAAGGGGCTTTCAATGGCAGTGAGGGGATTTCTCAACTTTTGTTGTAGCTTTCAAAAGTTCACCAGTTTGCCTGCTACTGCTCCTCCCTTTCCAGTTAGTATCTAGGAAGGAAATTTTAAGTGCTCAATGGATGTGCATTACTGATGTGTTGTGAGCAATATCATGTGAGTATTGTGCACTTACAGAGTTATAATCAAATGTGCACATGATTTTCTTTGTCCTTGCCAGTTTCAAATGAATATAGGCAATAACTTTTTCAAAGGAGAAGGGAAGCCAAAAACAAGGTTTGGTCATTGCAGGTGTCAAAAATGAACAGAAGAAAAGGTGGTTAGTTCTGGCTCAATATGACTTTGCATGAAAGAGAAGGTATGTATGGAATGTGTTCACACAGAGAGGAAGTTTGAGAAATGGCAGTTTTGTTTACAGTATCACAACCCAGAGAGTTAGATGGACATCTGAAAGGTTGCAGAATCCATAACTGCTAATCTGACGGATGCAGTTGAAAAATACGTGCATTATGTTGTAAAGTCGAGCAAAAATGTTAATTTCCATGGGAGATAAAAATGCAAATATGATAATGCCACATTTGAGAAATGTATGTTAGGTAGCTTACCTGAAAATCATCATGTAAATATTCAAAATGTGAGAGGAATCAGGATTGGGGTTGTGCCTCATGTTTCATGTTCCCAGTGGGAAAATAAATTCTGTTTGATCCTGTAACAAATATCACAAATAGTCACTATGAGCATCTATAACAGCCGAACCACCTGACAAAGCAGACACTACTTGGAGAGCATTCAGATGTGGGGATTATTGTGTTACTTTGCCTGATTATAATGCTAGCGCCTCAGATTCTGTGCCAGATTCTAATGTTCATTCCTTTTACACTGCATTACCCATTGTGTTATGGAACTGTGGCTTTTTTATTGCTATACTGCCTTGTCACACTAAATTTTCAATGACGGGAATAGAGCTGTGTGCTGGAATACCTCCCAGAGGTCAAGTGAAATTGCAACACACACAAAACTCCCATGATTTTCTGGGTAACCGGGGTTGGAGACAGTTTTTCCCCCCCTCTGGAAGCAAATGCTGTGGAAATGAGTGCTAAACTTCTGCTAGATTTTTCCAGAAGTGGCTTTTATGTTGTATAAGAGATCACGTGAAATTTGGAAATTATCAGGTAAGGAAATAAATGAAAACAGTATAAATTGCTCTCTGGATGCAGCCTCAGTGCCTCCTGCTACAACTAAGAGGGCCTAACACACTTTATGTTTGAGAAACATGACACCCGAAGTAGCATAATGGGGTATCCTGTACTTTAATTGGGTGAGTCCCCTTGGGTGGGTTCCCCATGCTTTAATGCAGACACTCCAAGTGTCTCTCTTTTCCAGAGACAGTCTCAGATTTACAAAAACTGTCCTGGTCTCTGATTTGATCCCGGAATGTCTCACTTTTCCTTAGAACATCCCTATTTTCATCAGCAAGATGTTGGAGGGTATGGCAAGACATCCTTATTTTCATTGGAGAAATGCTGGACAGTATGGAGTTGTGCAACTTCCGAGCCAAGGAGATAAGTAACTATATAACCTTTAGAAGACATTTGAAGGCAGCCCTTTATAGGGAAGGTATATAGTGTTTAATGTTTTATGATGTCTTTATATATGTTGGAAACTGCCCAGAGTGGCTGGGGCAACCCAGTCAGATGGATAGGGTATAAATTATTATTATTATTATTATTATTATTATTATTATTATTATTAGATGTTGTTGTTGTTGTTTAGTCGTTTAGTCATGTCCGACTCTTCGTGACCCCATGTACCAGAGCACGCCAGGCACTCCTGCCTTCCACTGCCTCTCGCAGTTTGGTCAAACTCATGCTGGTAGCTTCGAGAACACTGTCCAACCATCTCATCCTCTGTCATCCCCTTCTCCTTGTGCCCTCCATCTTTCCCAATATCAGGGTCTTTTCCAAGGAGTCTTCTCTTCTCATGAGGTGGCCAAAGTATAGGAGCCTCAGCTTCAGGATCTGTCCTTCCAGTGAGCACTCAGGGCTGATTTCCTTCAGAATGGATAGATTTGATCTTCTTGCAGTCCATGGGGCTCTCAAGAGTCTCCTCCAGCACCATAATTCAAAAGCAATTATTCGGCGATCAGCCTTCTTTATGGTCCAGCTCTTGAAATTCCCCAATTTTCATTGGAGAAATGTTGGAGAGTATGCTAATGCTGTTCATTTCAGACCTATTCGGATAACCAAGCACTTCCTTTATCCTAGATTTCCTGAGATCCTCATCCACATAGAAGTACATTAAGGCAGGTTCTTTGCTCGTGGAGGATGAGGTAATATTTACATGACTGGTAGAAAAGAGAGAAGGTTTCATTGGCTCTGCTGCTGTTTACCAGGCTCATTGTTAGGGCAACATGTCACCCATGGAGACGGAAACAAACCCAAGCAGCACTCAGCAATAAAGACACATGCATGCTGTTTCAGGCTGCTTGGAAAATAGCTACAATATCACTTTCATTTGCAAGGCTGGTGCAGAATTTAGGAACAAAGGTGGCAATTTACACCTGACCATCCAACGTTTTCCTGGCTCCCTGAGCTACATCAGTCCATCCCAGTTTTGGATTAGGGCTACTGATAGCAGCCTGCCATTGTCACATCCAGAAAGGTAAGTGATGGCTTGGGTCAGCAGGCATTTGTGGGTTGTCCTGCTACATTCTAATGCTGCATAGAAGAATAGCATGTTTTCCCCTCTCCATGTTCTCAATTCCTGGGCATTTGCTGAGGAGTCAGAGACTTCAACAGCATAATCAAGCTCAGTCTTTTATATATTGACATCATGGCACATTTCTTCCTTTCCCCTTCAGGTTTTCAGCAGAAATGTTTGTAACTGTGCTTCATGGTGGTAAGTGACCTTCCGGCCTTGAACCTTTGTTGTCTTGCAACAGGTGTGGGGAACCTTTGCCCTCCAGGGTTTGCAGAACTACACATCCCATCAGCCCCAGCAAGCACGGCCAATGGCCAGGGATGGTGGGAGCCAGCATCTTGAAATAGACTGGGAATCAGTGCAATTGTCTAAACACAGGGGGAAACACATTTCCAGCACCTGGACCCAGTTAGCAACCCCACAGGCTGTATTTTCAGCTAAACTACAGTTTCCTTGCAATCTTCAAGGGCACATTATATTAGTCTAACCTGGAGGTTACAAGCATGTGAATGACAGCTGTTTCCCTTGGCTTTATCCTTGCATATGTTTTAAATTCATTATCGTTAGGTACTTTGGGAGATGTTTTACTGAAAGGTGGCATATAAATGGTTAAAATAATTTTTTTTCAAAAAATGAAATCAATTTTTGCATTTTGTTTTTGCATGGTAGAAAACAGGGCAGACATTTTTAACATTCACTGTGAAGTCCAGCGTCTCCTAGACGGCATCAAACGCCGCTGTGGCTGTGAGGACGAAGGTACAGTAGCTAAAAATCTTTGTGCACTTTGTATGTTTTTTTTGGGGGGGAGGAGTGTGTATCCATGCATTTAGATGTTTCAGTGGGTTACACTCACTGATAGTAAGCACCTTGATCCAGCAGAGACTTTGTCAATTCCTGGAGTGTGGAGGCTAACTGAGACAGCACTCAGTGCTCTGACACAGATATCCAGCCTCCTTGTGAGCATGTTTGCCTTTCTGTTAAAGACTCCAAGGTATGTAGAAGCACATTCCTCAGAGAAGGCCTGACACAAATTGAACACGTGCAGAAAGCTCAAAATTTATGTTAGAAAAAAACAGGGATAGCGTGTGAATGAATAACACTTACCAGCTCTTGAATCATGTGTTTCAGATGATATAGAGTTAGCAGACGAGAGTGGGCAGGTGAAGAATTTACTCCAGAACAAGCAGCGCTCCACAACTGAGCTTCTGGGGGAACGTGAGGCCTATGTGCTCCTGGGTGTTACAAGTAGGTCCCTTGCACCAAATCTCTAGACTCCCATGTGGACAGGTATGGCAGTACAACTGCACAATGTGCACCTAAAACCAAGAAAGTCTGAATCCAGTTCTCATGATGATTTATGCACACTGGAATCGGTACTATCTGTGCATGTAAAGGTAAAAGGTAAAGGACCCCTGGACGGTTAAGTCCAGTCAAAGGCAACTATGGGATTGTGGCGCTCATCTCGCTTTCAGGCTGAGGGAGCTGGGTCATGTGGCCAGCATGACTAAACCACTTCTGGCACAACGGAACACCATGACAGAAACCAGAGCGCACGGAAACACCGTTTACCTTCCCGCCACAGCAGTACCTATTTATCTACTTGCACTTTGATGTGCTTTTGAACTGCTAGGTTGGCAGTAGCTGGGACCGAGCAAGGGGAGCTCACCCTGTTGCAGGGATTCGAACCGCCAACCTTCCCAAGCCCAAGAGACTTAGTGGTTTAGACCACAGGTTTAGACCTTTACCTGTGCATGTACAGATATGTGCACAAATGCACAGTTTTGCCTGTAAGGTCTGCTGCTGTGGGCCCTGATACACTTTGCAAGAAGGTGAGCAGTTCCTTATTGCTTACAATTCTGCATTTGGGTCCACAAAGTGTAGCTACTTCTTGTGTTCTTGGCAGCCAATCCTATGCCTGTCACTCAGAGGCAAGGATAGGTGGATCTGTCTATTTTACCTCTGAGTCAATTTTGCATGCTTTCATTCCACCCCATTTTCCTATGTATCTATGATTTTATAAAGAAAAATCTGCCTGAAAAACCATATTTAAAAACATATTTAACAATGTAAAGTATTTTATTAGAAAACATGTATTTCAGCATGTATGGGATCTCAATGCCCGTGTTTCTAAACCGATTTTATATACATTTTAAAGCTCCTTTTGGTTAAAAAAAAAATTAACCAAGAACAGTATTGCAAAATTTGGAAAAATCTAGTGTTCTGATCTATACTCTAGTCCAAGAGATGAAAATCAAATTGGTTCATGTGAAAATTTGTGGAAATCAGTTTTTTTCAACCAGCTCTACTTGTGAGTGAGAACCCACTGAAAATGAGCTTTGCTTCTAATAGAATGTGCTTAGTTAGAACAACGATGCTAGCCACAGCTGTGATTGGCAGCTGTTCTGCCATGTCTTTGCCAGCTAGCTCAACTCTTGCTCTTTATTCTGACTGCTAAACAGGACATTCCATCCCTACCCCTAACCACACACTATAATTGTTCTTTACCTTTGCCCTTTCCAGGAGGTGAAAGGCCTTCCAAGAGAGTATTTACACCTCTGTTGAAAGATGAGTCCATCATTAATGCTAAGTTCCTAGGTAGGTGGGTGAACTTGCCTCCATTTATCTATGCAATTTGAAAAGCATCTTCAAATGTCAGTTTGTTGTTGTTTAGTCGTTTAGTCGTGTCTGACTCTTTGTGACCCCATGGACCAGAGCACGCCAGGCACTCCTGTCTTCCACTGCCTCCCGCAGTTTGGTCAAACTCATGCTGGTAGCTTCAAGAACACTGTCCAACCATCTCGTCCTCTGTCGTCCCCTTCTCCTTGTGCCCAGGGTCTTTTCTAGGGAGTCTTCTCTTCTCATGCAAATGTCAGTAGTCAGCCAGAATTGCCATCAGGGCCCAGGGACTGACAACTGTGTGCACTTGCCAGTGAAAGAAGCTAAGCTTTGTCTGTCCCTGAGCCTAGTTGGCCCTGTCAAAGATGGATCGGTGCCTCTGGACAAAAATACACCTCCCATGCCAAAGAGACATGCCCATTTTCAATGTAGGACAATACTATTCAGAAATGTGGCTTGCCTCTTTGGAACTGGGAACTAGGTTTGTAAAAGGTCCAGCTGTACACTCTGCATGCACATGTCCCTTTTTAGATCTTCCACCTTCAGATGCAACCAAGAAGGGGTAAAGGGTTTTATGCCCCTTTGATTTCAGTGGAAAATAGGTGAGTGAAACTTTTATGTATACATTTTATACTGCTGTCAGAATAGCAGTGATTTGAGAGCTTTCCATCACTGCAGTGTGGAAACTTCTGGTGGCATCACAGAGGGTGGTCTGTAGCATCATGAGGACCTTCAGCCACTGTGCCAGAGGGCACAAGACTGCTCCCTTAGTTAGATAATTGCTTATCCTCTATCTCGCTTTTTCATTGCACCGTTGAATTGCTTTGGTGAATTATATATTTCTCCTACCTGAAGCTAAGCTAGAGAGCTGGCAAGAGCGCAAAGTCCCCTCTCCGAGAGTAAAATCCAGAAAGACCCACAAAAAAGCAACCTTGGATATCCCAGCTGCTGAAGGTGAGCTTATAATTATTAAAGAGAACCTCCAGTTTATGACCTTTTGTGAGTCTTGATGGCTAACATAGAATCATAAAATTGTAGAGTTGGAAGGGATTCAGAGGAGCAATTCAGGAAAGATGACATGTGTTAGATATGGAGAAGTGGAATTACATTTTTAGCCAAGTGAGATTAACAAGCACCTTCAGAATCCATAATCAACTTGGTTTACTTATTGTAACCCAGCTATAGCATATGAATTTCAAAACCAGCAGCTCCTTCCCTGAGGACTGCCAGTCTTTTCATGGTCCAGGGGCAGTCAAGGAACAATGGCCAGGCACTGCAAGTTGCCTCAGGTGAACTGCTGGGTTGAGATATAAGCTTAAAACATATTCAATGAATAATGGGTTGCTTTCCCCCTAACATGGTCACAACCAGATTTTAAAGGGTTATATGTATCACCTCAATGTCATCATTTAATGCTAATTGAAGATTGAAGGTTGTTGTTGTTTACCATCAAGCAGTATATAAATTTTATGAATTAAATAAATAAATATTTAATGACCATTCTCTGAATGTACAGTTTGTTTTACATACAGAGACCAAACTTGACAAAAATCTCACGTTATTGTCCATATTTGCATGAAGTATTTGCTTTCACCACCTTGTTCACAGACACGTTGGTGCTTACATGATTATTGTCTCTTTCCACTGTAGGCTTAAGGAATCATTCGCCTCACGGCAGCAGGACAAGGACGCCCGCTGCTTCTCCGAAACAAAGCAGAAAATTATGATCTCTTGTTGGATCTGAAATCGGAATCTCTTCCAGTTTGTTCCACCTGTTCATGTATGTTCCAGAGTGTCCCCTGCTCTGAGCTTGAGTCCACATAACAAGGCAGGCCAGGATTCTGAAGCCTGCATTATGATTCGCTGCCTTGGCACAAAACAGCCAATCAGGTGTGAGGTGGGTGTCTCCAGGGGCTGGCTGAAGTGTATATAAATCAGATCCTGTTCCCTGTTTCCCTCAATCTGTTTCTGATGTCTCACTAAAGCCTTTAAGCTGAAACACTGCCTCTCGCTCGAACCAAGACTGGATCTAGACACATCAAAAAAGCTTTTCAGTTAAACACGTACATTTAAACAGGGAAATCCGGTAGGTAAAAACGGGACTCCACAGCACCATCTGGTGGCACAGTGTTATATTGCATATACAACACATATAAATTGCTTTTTCTTTACCAATCTAGCTGAGTCCCTACGTATACCTTTTTCTGTTTCTTTGTGCAAATGTGAATTTTTAGGCACCTTACCTGACAATAAGGTGCCTTGAATGCTGTAGGACTTACTTCTGAGTAAACAGGGAATATAACATTGTACTGTAGATGTGCTTGATTGGACAGGGTTGGGGAACCTGTGATCCTCCAGATGTTTCTTTTTGTCTCAATATGTACAAGTCTGACTAAGGTTAATTCAACAAAAGGCATTTTCCACTATGTTTCTCGCTCTTTGCCTCAACTGTTGTAGGAACAATTTTGTGAGTCAGCCAATGCTACAGCCATTCTGCACCAGAATTCCCCAAGGCTTATTTCTGAGAGTTGTTTCCAATCTTACTCATCCTAGAAATAGTAATAAAAAGAGATGGCGCTTTTGAGCACACTGGTGATATCTCACAGTGCAACGGAAGCTGCTATACCAAGGATGGTGCAAGACTGTTAAGGAATGATGTATGGAGATGTGAGAAACCAGGTCATGACCTTCTCCAAAGAACAGATTAATAAATAATATTTTTAGAAATAATACAACAAAATCCAAAACACAGTTCACCAAGGAATAAATTCCTCTGTTCCATCCAGACTTCTTTTAGGTCAGATGGCTTTGAAACTAAATGGTTATTGGCTAATGTTGACATTTAAAAAAAATTAGTTTATTGTATTGCGTTTCTTTCCCACCAAGCTGGTACATGGTTCTCCCCTTCTCATTTAATTCCCCAGACAACCCATGAGGCTGGTTAGGTTGAGAAGCAATGACTGGCCCGAGGTGGCCCCAGTGAATTTCATAGCTGAGTAGGGATTCGAACCCTGGTCTTCTAGGTCCTAACTGCTACACCACTTTGGTTATATATATGGGAGCATGGGAGTTGCAGGCTACTTTTTGACCCAAAGCAGTGTTGACTGTCAAGGGACTTTTAAAAATCTAAGTAGTTGGAGGAACCTTTGAATTTTAAGTTTTGATAATCTGCACTTCTGAAAATCAATGTGCTTCATCTCACTCTTGGAATACCTTAGTGCAGGTTTTTTGGGTGTGTGGGTGTGTAGTGATACAGTGGTACCTCCGGTTGCACATGGGATCCATTCTGGAGCTCCAGCCAGATCCCGAGGAATTCTCAACCAAAGGTGCCTGTTCTGTGCATGCGCGTGGCATCGTAGATCGCTTCTGCGCATGTGCGTGCCACGTAGAGCACTTCTGCACATGCGTGTGTGGCAAAACCTGGAAAAAATACTTCCAGTTTTGCCGTGTGTGTAACCTGAAGGATATGCAACCAGAGGTGTGCGTATCCAGAGGTACCACTGTGTGTGTGTGTGTGTGTGTGTGTGTGTGTGTGTGTGTGTGTCCAGTCTGCTGCCTTGTGGGATATCTTCGGGAGAAGAAAAGGCTAAGAAGTAAACCATACACAAGTCCAGAGTGGAGTTCCTAAGATGGTTGGATGGTACTTTGTACGCCTCCTTCCAGTAACTCCTGCAGCCAAGCTGGTGCCAAATGTATTGCTATACTTTCCCTTGGACCACATCAGTGAGGCTGAGAGGGTGTGTCTTGTCGTCTGGGCAATCCAGAACCTCCATACACACTGTCCAGGCTTGTACCCCAGGGAGGTCACTTCAGTGATGCTAACACAGCAGTTTGATTTCACCCCTGGTGGCACATTCTATTGTCTCTGAAGATGGATGACACCAACATTGGCTGCAAATAATATTGGACTGGCTGAATGTGGTAAGCACATGCACTGCATGCAGAAGGTCCCGGATTCAATTCCTGGCATCTCATGGTAGGACTGGACAAAACCCCTTTCTAAAACCCTGGAGAGCAGCTGCCAGTCAGTGTAGGCAATCATGAGCTAAATGGGCCAGCAATCTGACTTGGTGCATAGCAGCTTCCTCTTGCAAACAGCATGGCTGGAGAATGGAGGTTAGATTATAAAGGGTTGTTCATTGAAACCCCATCTCCATAATCATATGAAGTTCTGCCCAACTCCATCTGGGTTTCAGAGCTTGATTCAGCACTGGCAACATTGCGTGTGCAATGCTTTTGTTTGCAATCATCAGAACTGGAAGGTTTGTTTCTCTCTCTCTCTTTTTAGTGAAAGTGAAAGTCTACGGGATGTGACATTCTGCAATTGCATTAATATCCTTCATCCACTTAGAATACCCAGTTTTGGAGGGAAGCACACACAAGCTTTTCTTTCTGCCATGCTGTACTTAGCTGAAATTCTCCACCTGACTAATCCTAGGAGACATTGAGCATCAGATCCTAGGTTTATATTTGTATAGCATGCTGCATTGAAACAGTTCAGGGCTATGTTGAAGATCAAAGTTGAGAGAGAAAGAGGCCCTCTTTTAAGAGGAAACTAGAAAACTCCAGTGGATTTTCTCAAAGTTGAAGGTTTACAAGGTTAATTTCCAAGAGATCTGTTTCTCTTTGGAGTTGGGAGTGATCGAACAAATGCTGTCTGGGTAATTTCTAAGTAAATGGAGTGGAAAAACAGGTGTCAATCATTCTCTGCCTTTTTGTTATCAAGATAGGCTTCAGATCAGGACATTCCTCAACTGCTGTAATCAAGTGGTGTGCTTGTTGAAGTAGAAGAGAACGTTTACAATAAATCATAGAATCAGTCCGGCTTTTTTCAGTTGGAATTCGCCAGAACTCAGTTCTGGCATCTCTCAGGTGAGTTCTATTGCTATTCTAAGAGAACCAGGGAGGCATTCATGGTGAATTCCCGCACCTCTTTTTTTAGAAAAATATCACTGAATCAGAATTGTAAAGTTGGATGGGACCCCAAGATCATCTGGTCCAAACTCCTACAATGCAGGAATCACAGCCAACGAATCCTCTGGTCTATCAAGACCTGCCAGAGAAAACCCTTTGTTCTTTTGCCAATGTTTTAAGAGTAGGTGAATATAGAATGGAGTTGCATTAATAAGAGAAGCTGCAGATACCTCTCATTGTTATAAATAAATTCATCATAGTAGCCTAACCTTCCCCATTTTGTATGACAGCAGAGAAAGGAGAGGCCTGTAAGTTGATTGTTATTTATTTTTAAATAAATGTATAGGCCGCCTTTTGGGGGCATAGCTCACTCCATGTGGCTCACAATACCATTATATAACATAAATGAGCCAGGAATGGTCATGGAATTAATTTCTGATACAGACATGGGCCTTAAGGGGCTATGTTGATGAAATATACAGTCACTGTCAGTCACAAAGGAACAATGGATGTGTTGCTTAGATTGGGGTTGCACGAAACAATACTCTCTGACTTCCTTGGAACATTTTGTTCACCTGCACCCTCAAAAATAAATGCCACTTGACACCTCGGCATCTTCACACACAAATTCTATTGCAATTAGGCTGCTAGAAAGTTCAGTTGGCGTGATTTAAACTCTGTAAATGTGCATTGCGGTTTTCAATACTGCTTTGATTTAGCTTCAGTGGAAACTAGTCTGTATCTTGTTCTGATCTGAGCAGATGGAGCAGGCACATGCAGACTTGATGAAGATAAGGCATTTTTTCCATGTGAAAGGTCTAGTATCCTCAGGTAAAGTAGTGAACTGTGCTCTCCCTTTGTTCCTTCACAAGAATGTGGTGTTTCTGTTTATAAGCGTTTCTTGGGAACGTACCAGACCATTTAATTTCAAAGGGGCCCGTAGTGGGCAACAGCACAGAGCAGGTTAGGATATTATCCAGCAAAGGAGCCAGCTGACAAATAGTAAAACAAAGCCACTTCTTTGCCAACTTTGAAGCCAGGTGACCATCACCTTGTTTGAACTTTTGCTCGCTGCTGTGAATAGGAATTATTCATCCAAATGTGTCTGTGTGGTTCCTAGGTGTAAAACGATGTCTGTCTAAATCATTTCCACCATATTCACAAAGATTGTCCATTGGAGCAAGGCTCCCTAACCTTTCCGAGCCTGGGGTCACATCTGGAAATCTAAAAAAGAAACGTTGTGGGGTCCCACAAATAGAGGGAAATCTGCTGATTTCACACACATACAGCAGGAAAAATACCTGCACACACCCCAAAACAAAACACAGACCGAAAAAGGCACAAACCATCCACCCACTGAAAACAAGCCCCCAACCGTAAATGTTTAAAAATAAAATATTGGGAGATGCTGAGAGGATTGGAATGCACCAAAATCTAAGTATGTCACATTGGGAACCCCAGTGCCAAAGCAACTTTTGCCATGTTGGGAGTCAGCTATACAGCTGCAAATATAACATTTCAACAGTGCTTTAAGTGCATTGTACATATGTGACTGGTGGCGCTGTGGGTTAAACCACAGAGCCTAGGACTTGCCGATCAGAAGGTCAGCGGTTCAAATCCCCGCAACGGGGTGACCTCCCGTTGCTCGGTCCCTGCTCCTGCCAACCTAGTAGTTCGAAAGCACGTCAAAGTGCAAGAAGATAAATAGGTACCGCTCCGGCTGGGACGTAAACGGCATTTCCGTGTGCTGCTCTGGTTCGCCAGAAGTGGCTTAGTCATGCTGGCCACATGACCCGGAAGCTATAAGCTGGCTCCCTCAGCCAATAAAGCGAGATGAGCGCCGCAACCCCAGAGTCGGTCATGACTGGACCTAATAGTCAGGGGTCCCTTTACCTTTACATATGTGACACTAGGTGGTCCTGGTGAGCTAATGGCAAATTCCATATATATATTTTTAAGAAATTTAAAAAGCATTTTCATGGCATTTTTTACATATGTGTAGATTCCGCCATGGTCTTGTTACCAAGGTGGAGACCTAACTGAAAAGAATCCTGAAAAGATGTGTTCCCCAGTCTGACTGCATCAGCAACGCATGCCATTTGGCTCTCATTAATATAATGGGTGTGTTTTTGGTACTTTATTTCAGTACCATGAAGCCTTCCCATGTCACATAAAAACAGTGACATTTGCAAGTGACAAACAGATGCCCATTAAGGCACATCTCTAAGAGCCCATTGTTACAGGAGAATGCATTACTTGAAGCCAGATTCTTAGTGGCAAACTTTCCATTCATTTGCAAATCAGAGTTTAGAGATGAATTCCCATAACATTTGGAAGAAGGGGAAAAGAGGAGCTTGGGATGTGCCAGTTGAAACTTGCACTTTCTATTTTTTTTAAAAAACACCACACCTACACACTGTATAAAAGCACAGGAGGGGCGGGGCAGGATGGAAAGCCAAGGATTTCAAATGTGAGCAATTGAAAAAGGAAAGCAGGATGGACTGGTTGGGCCATTTCCATAACAACTTAGTATGGAATGGCATTAAAGGCATTTGACTTAGGAGTTACAAAAATGTAACTCCTGGTAGCCTTACAGACGCTGTTCGTCATGGCTCTTGCTTTTTCTTCAGACTTGCTGCAGTGCCAAGTCTCAGATTGGAATGCTGCCTTCATTACAGACAGCAATAAAAGCAGAACTTGAAAGGTCTTGAATATATCCTCTTCACCACCTAATGGGGAACAAGCTCTTTGCGTAGAAAAGGGCAAGCTGTGTTCCTTTACATGATGCAGTTGCACTGATCACTATGGGTGAGGGTTAGACAGCTGGGATAGCTCAGTTGGCAGAGCATGAGACTCTCAATCTCAGAGTTGTGGGTTCAAGCCCCACACTGGGCAAAATTTTCCTGCATTGCTGGATGACTCTTGTGGTCCCTTCCAGCTCTACAAATTATGTGATTCTGCGAAGCACCAGCATGGTGAGTAGCCATTTGTAGCCTTTTCCATGAAGAACGGGGAGGCAAGAAAGGTGGGTATAAATGAAATAATAAATAAATCAAGACCCAGACAGGACAAGCAGGAACTTTTTTGTAAAAAGTTATTTTTATTATCAAATTGTGATTGTACAGCATAAACCTCAGCAACCCCACCTCTGGTCTGCACCAGCAGGCTCACAGTTGGATTGCTGTAGGCGACATCGTATGAACAAAAATGCAACTTTTAAGAAACCTAGTGCAAGACAGCGCCTTTATATTATTGCTGTGACAAACGGGCGGTTTCTTTCATTCTATATACAAGGGGGTTTCATTTCCTTCGGACAGTTGCACACTTTAAACAAGAAGGGGTTAGGTGTTATAAAAATAGATAGCATTCAAGTTGGCAACCCAAGGGTAAGCTTTTACAGTACAGTTCAGATCTGCTTCGGATCTCCTACTTCTCTCTCTCAATTCTGATGAGATTCCTTCGCAATTGGTTGATATTGCACAGGCAGGCACCTTCAAGCAGCCGCTGCCAGAAGAGATAACCAAGTTGCAGTCTCCAGGGTGGAGAAACGAGTGACAGAGACGCTTTCAATAATACATGTTTTTGTCCCACCAGCCTGTAATGGAAGGACAGAAAAAAACACACGTGTGAATTTTCCCCTTACCTTTCTGCACACACACAATTCTCATGCCTCTCTGTTCTTCACCCAAACAAGCAAAAAGGCCTTATCAGAATCTGACACATTCCAGACAAACACAGACGCTCAAGGAGAGCAGCATGTTCTGGGAAGGGTGTGTGTGGAGCACACCAAGGGCCAGACAGAGAGATTCAGAGGGCCACATTTGCCTCCGCCCACTGACCTGGGGTTCTCCACCCCTGGTACCAATGCTAGAAGAGAAAGATCATGGGGAATCCAAGGCTTCCATAAGGCACATACATGAGAGCTTTCCACCTTTCTCCCACTCCTCCTCCTATGGGGGGCACAGAATGAAGGCATCCAGAGCATGCAGTGCCTTGCCTGGCCCAGTACCCCAAATTATATTGAGGGCAACTAGAAAAGTATGGTTTGAATGTCCTTGAAAATGGTACGGTTTCCTAGATTTCCATCAGTCCACCAACCAATGTCCTCTTTCTTGCTCTTCTATGAATTCTTTCCAAACCTGTACATTGCTGGTTAAAATGTAAAAGGAGGTCTTGCAGTCATTCATGAATCTAACTTGTGATTCATGTACCGCAAAGTGGAATTCCTGACCAGAGGGGACCTCTGGTGCCTTTCATATATATATAAATTTATATTTTTATTTTGACAAATGCGATGCTACCTGCAGTAAACGAGTGTAGAAATTCTAAAGCACTATGTTACTTACTTCCGGGATACCGTCTGATGAACAGCTTGCGGAATTCGTCGTAGACCCAGATCAAGATGGCAAAAGGAACAGCAACAAACCAATACTGAAACCTAGATAGCAAAGTATTAGGCATCAGACATTGCTTTTAAAATACAGTCAGCTTGTTTATTGAAACATCTCTGCTACAGCATTTGACATTGTGACATGGCTCTAGGATTTTGGACCCTTTTTGTGGTCATTATGTCCCTCGTATTGCGGTCAGTGCTTATGGCACCATGGTCATAAGATTAAAACTCTCACCATGACCAAAAACCATGCATAGGTCTTTCAAGGAGCCCAAGACTAGGGAGTGACTCAACACTTATTTAGGACTTTATTCAGTTGACTTAGGCTTCCGTCATATGGTCTCTGGAAGGGCATAACAGGGGATATAGGAGACCATCAGTTCACAAGGGCTATCACAGATCTCTTTCTGAGTTTAGAGTGAAAGCTCTGGCCTCAGAAGGAGACATCCGGGGTTGGGTCCTTCCTTCCCACCACCATGTCAACTTCCATAACCCTCACGCCTATTGATGATATCAGAACTCATGACTAGGGCCAAACCAGGGCATGCTGGGGCAGTTAAGGCTTCCAGGCTCCTTAATTTGCCTCAAGTCCAAGGAGTAGTTAATCCACTTCAGGAGCTGGTACCCATTTATTTCCTTCCCCAAATAGGGGTGTGTTTTTAGGGGCTTGCAAAAGAGGAGTGCAACAGTGTTCCTCTGCTCTCACTGCCACCCTGCTAGTGAGAGCCTAGCTGGGCAGTGGACAGAGCAAATATATTATCACCTTCCAAACATATGCACCTTGAATGAATTTTACCCCCATCCCCAGTTCATGGTTTTGCTTCTTATTTCTTTTAGCCACTTTAGCCATGAGCGCTAAAGATAGAATTTTGATACAATCAAAGGTGTATTCTCTATTTAATAGATATCCTTCAAACTATAAGTCTTGGGGCTCTATTATTAGAACAAGAACACAGTAGGATTGGTGTTCTTGTCCTAATAATACAGCCCCAAAATCAATCTCTCTCTCTCTCTCTCTCTCTCTCTCTCTCACACACACACACACACACACACACACACACATCTTGCTGTATAGAAAATGAACTCACCGGAGGGGTGCAAAGTTTAAGGCATAAACACTTCCAAGACCATAGCAGAGAATTGCAGCAATTCCTAATTGGGAGAATATGCCAACCCAGATTACTTTGTTCCTATGAAGGGAAAAAATACATTCAGCGATTAAATGTTTTAGATGCTATGAACATGACCTGTCATTATTCATGACAATAGATTTTTACTTTTTGTCCTCACCTATGTCTATAATAGTACAGACTATCTTAATGCATAAGTGCAATGTCAGATGTGGAGTGTGTGTCCTAGAAATGGGTGTACAAAGGAATAACCCAGGCCTTTGATGTGTGAAATTGAGTTGCCTGGTTTATCTTCTCTGATCACCCATGTTTACAACCTTGCTACTGGATCTATTTTTCCATTGTGATATTTACATTTTAGCAACGACCAAAATCATTTTCTCTCCAACTTCTTCAGTTTAGGAAGCCAAATTGTTCCCCTTATTAGGTTCAGCTCAAACGTTTGTCTCTCCTGACTTTATCACTGTGAGGTCACTGAACAGGTATTGTGTACCCATAATGGGTTTCATCATGAGTTGCCTTCAGTTCTTATTGGTTTTGTAGCAATTCGTGTTGCGAACATGTTCTTGGAAGAAGAAAAATAAAAGCATCCCCCTGCCCCTAATTCTGCTGTTACCTTTTCTCAGTGTCAGACAAAATGAGCCAAAATGAGAGCATGTGTGTCTAAATAAATCAATTAAGACTTTTAAAAAATTGATGTAGTGAAACCATTAGAGGTTGTTGGTCACAAAAAAACAGAAGGTGACGTATGTAGATGCATCTTATTCTCTCATTTACTTATCTATCCTAAATTCCAACTTCCTTATTTCCAAAAGGATAATCTGACCACTGGTTCTTTTTATCCGTAGCTCTACAGAATGGCTACCGCAAGAAGAGTACAGTGGTCAGTAGTGAAGGAAAGAGGTGGAGATTTGTTCCAAAGTCATCCTATCATCTGAGACTCCAGTTATACCTGAAAAGCCCTTGCTGGAAAATGGAGTTCCTTCGCGTCTTCCTGATGATCAGATCTGCCACTTGCTCAATAGTGATACTGACAAAGAAGGCCGTGTAGCCATGGTACTCCAAAATTTGCCGTTGGTCAAATGTCTGCAGAAGAACATTAAATTTGGTGTGGGTGGGTGGGGAGAGACATCTGTGTTAAGTAAGTGATAGATAATCTGTGAGCCAGCAAGCTGAACACATCCCTCAAGCCATGCTTGATAGAAAAAGGCTTGACAGCCTTCCCTTTTTTTTCTTTGCAGTTCAGGCAGACAGCAAAACCAGGATGTGAGTCAAAAATTCTGCAGGTCTGCTAAATCTACTTTAAAGCAGTTTTAATAAACATTATAAAGGTGGTTTTTTAAAAAATGAAAGAAAGAAAATAGCATGCAACACTAAGGCTATTTATGTATATACATTAGGAGGTGGCTCCATTTGCCCTATTGCAACAAAGTCATGTGTTCAGAACTGTGGGCCTAATTTTATAGAACTCCCTTCCAGTTGAAGTCAAACAGCTCTGTTGAACTTCCGGGCCTACTGAATACATTTTGTTATTCCAGCAGACATTTTAACTGAAGCCTGGTTTTGGAATTTTAACTGACTTTCACCATTTTGCATTTTGTTTTTTCTGCACCACTTAGAGATTTTTGTAGTTATGTGGTATATAAATGGTTTAAATTAAATTAGATAAAGAGTATTTGGTGTCAGCTACATGTTCTGGAGGGCCCTTGCACAAAACAACCCCCATTGCCTCATTCCCTTAGAGAATCTATCTCATCATTGGAGCAAGACAACCAGGGGATTCTTGTCAGGGGACTCCCTGTTGGGTTGTGTGGGTTCTTGGCGCATGCCCAACTATAGTGACCTTTGGTGTCAGTCCTGCTAAGTTCTAACTGGTGTCTTCAGTGAAGTTGCCTTACCCATTCCTGTCCATAGCTGTCTTCCAAGTCATTTATGAATGGATCTTCCCAGCTGGTTCGGATGTGGAGCAGTGTGTGAGGTAGCCAGCCCTGCTGAGCATAAACTGTGAAGTAGGTCAGAAAGGCCCCAATGGTCTGCACCAGTCCTAGAAGAAAAAAAGATGGTTTGAGGGGGGGAGTGGAGTTTGTAGGAGATAAAAAAGTTGACAAAAACTAATGGCTGGATGCCTATCACAATAGCTCTCCTGGAGACTTTTGCCTCTCGGTTAACAAAATTATGGATTTGCTCCGAGATCATATCAGAGATCAGCCATAAACCGATTCAAAACCACTCCCCGTTTACCACTTTTGCAAATATGCCCATCGTACCAATCTGCAAGTAGGAGTATGTGACAAGCTCCTGGTTGACCAGCCTATCCCTTTTCTTGTGTCGTGGCTTCCTTTTCATGATATCACTTTCTGCTTTTTCATATGCCAGTGAGACAGATGGGATCTGTAGGAGAGAAAGTCCCAATCAGTATCCTGTAAGATTCTAGAATTCATGTTTTTCGCTTTTGTTTTTGATTACTGAATATTGCACAAAAAAGCAATGCATGCTGCCAGGAGAATCTAACAATCAAATAAGGAACACTTTGATTAGGATTAAGGAACACTTCTGGTAAGCCTTCAGTTTCCTTCCCCAAAGCAAAGAGCGCAGGAAAGGCAACCCTCTTGTTTTGCAAAATGCAAATGAAGCTGCAGTACAAACTGAACCCTGTGAATGTTTTTCTCCAGATGTTAAGGACTCACAATGTCTGTGCCAAGATCAATAAAAAGGATGGTGATGGTGCCAATGGGTAGTGGGATGCTGGCCATGATGTAAATCAGGAAAGGACAGAGCTCCGCAATGTTCTTGGTCAAGGTGTAGGCAATGGTTTTCTTCAGATTGTCAAAGATCAAGCGACCTGTAGGAGAGAAAGGGGAATAAGTCTGTCATGTTTTGGTAAATGTGGCATGCAGTGCTGCAAAATATACTAAAGGAAATGAGATATGCAGAGCTTCTTAATTTATCTGCTCCCACTATAAAATATGGATTATCAAGAACATTTCCCTGGCATCAGTTACAGCAAATGAGCAGGCTTTAAGATTAAACACTTAAATCATTGGCATTGGTAAAATAGGATTTCCATTTGAAAGGAGCCACAACAATAGTGAAGATTAGGTGGACTTCAGCTTTGGACACCTTAAGACACCAGTTCCATATATTGATAGTGGTGAAGAGCTGACAGGTCTACGGGAATGCTATGAAAAGGGGTCCAGTCTTGCAACAGCTTTCCAACGATCTGAACATTTCTGGGATTGAACATTGCAGTATGAGTTGGGATAGGCTGAGAGGGTATGGGAACCAGAGGGGAACAGAGAACAAGTCTCATGTGTTGTGTAAAGACTGGTGTGAGGCTGCCTCTGTTTATGTTTGTATGCATAACCCTCTCTAGATTTGCAAAAACTGTCGCCAAGAGCATCCAAATTCTGCCGATCACCTGTGCGTTCATGTGATTCACCTCTCCCCGAACATATGCTGCTTGACTTTTAAGGCTGTTTGTCAGAGCCACAGGCCTCATCTTACCTTCCTCCACTCCAGTAACGATAGAAGCAAAATTGTCATCCAGCAAAACCATGTCAGCTGCATTCTTCGCTGCGTCAGAGCCAGCAATGCCCATAGCAATTCCTATGTCAGCTTTCTTCAGAGCTGGGGAATCGTTGACACCATCTCCAGTCACGGCAACCACTGAGTCCTTGAGAACATAGGAACCACAGGAGGTTATAGAAACTGTGCCCACAGCCCTGCCCTTGCTTGACTTCTGCTATGTTGAACTTCCTAAATACAGTGTTGAGGTCTGTGTACAGTTACTCTGTACAATAATGTTGCTCTTTCAAAAACAACTTGATGGAAGGATCTGGGTGGGCAGCTCAGAAGGCACAGCCATTCCAACGACTGAGCAAAAATATAAATACCAGTTGCACAAGCGTCCCTCTGACCTTGCCTTGTAAAGTTCTCTTATTCCTGCCTGTGTTGCTTCCAGGAATGAAGCCAGATGTCAATTCCTATTCTGTCTTTTGTGAGAAATAGTGCCATTTCTTGTTGCAATTTGGTTGTGGATATTTGTACAGGGCAAAATTTCAACTGTCCAGACATCCAGAGCACAACCAATATATTCAGAGAATCAAGGCTTATTTGCTTGCTTACATTATGCAGTCAAGACATGATTTGCAGCATTGGGAATTTCAGATAACCAAGAATTCAGATACTACAAAATTTGCAGTATCAAGGGATCCCCTTCCCTTCAGCTCTTTTAATGCCAATCTGTTACTGTGGCATTTTGCTTCTTGCTAGCATAGATTGGATTTATGCAGAAAGCTAAATATGCTGATTGGCCAAATCCATATCTGCTCGGTGAGATTTATGCAACCAAGCGTCCTTATTAGGAAAGGTCAGAGCGTCTAAGTGTAAGGGAATTTAGAGTATCGTGAGCTGAATTAAGCAGAGAGAAAACCCGGAAAACCTGATTAAGGCAAATGCTGGGGATCTTGTTCTCGGGGGACTTAGTGCATTGAGACTCGTTATAAATAATACTGTGCCTAAGAGCTTATAGGCTCTGGTAACTAAATATAGAGCATGCATACAGCCCACTTTTTTTCTACTGTTCATCCTTTAGAGAGCTAAATATTACTTTGGATGTGGGTGTTAATGAACGGTAAAATGGAGAAAAAATATTTGTGCCTTTTAAATATAGGACTTTGTTTGTTTCCATGCAGGATTGAAATTAGGGAGCTGTATTTTCTAATTTTTTGTTGTTATATATGTTTTCCACTGAGAAGTGTTCCAGGGGAAGATCATGCAGATGCAACCTTTTGGTACCAAAAGTACAGCTTCTGTTCTCGCCAGAGTCACTCACCTGCCTTTGGCAGCCCTCCACGATAATTAGTTTCTGCTGGGGTGAAGTTCGGGCAAAGACTATCTCTGAGTGGTTGCACAGGATGTCGTCCAGCTGTTCTGAAGTCATGTCTTTCAGCTCCATGCCATTAACTACAGCAGCTCTGGCATCGCTACAAAAACCAGAGGCAATCTCAATTAAAGTTGCTGCAGCCCCGAGTTAAAAAATGGCATGCGTACATATCTTACTAAATCTAAACTGGTGTGTTAGGGAACAGCGAAAAGCTCATTTATTCAAGTTAGAACACAGCATAGTAAGGAAACCTCACTCCTGAAAAATGAGGTACAGTAGGTGGCCACTGACTGGTCTGGGAGTATTCAAATGGGACAAGTGGATAGATTGTTCAAAGTCTGGGATGGGGAACCTTTTTCAGCCTGAGGGCCACTTTCCCTTCTAGGCAACATCTCAGGGGCCACTTGCTAGTGGTGGGTGGGGCCAGAGACAAAAGTGAGTGGAGCAGCAAATGTCAAGTCTACATATGTCTACTTCTACATATTCACACACCCTTCTCTGCCCTCCATCCAAGCAAGAAGCATTACCAAACACATCCCAGATGGGCAAAAACACTCAATGGAGGTGCAAAGCAGGGCAGATGAGAGGCATGGTCCAGGGAGAGGGTGTGTGTGGCTGGGAAGGGTGTGGTGGGTAGGTCTGGTCCTGAGGACCACATAGACAGGCTTGAATGGCTGTGTTTGACCCTTAGGTCTGAGGCTCCCCACCCCTGTTGTGAGTTATACCATCAACTGTGCATTAAAAACAGAGTAGCATGAGAACATGGGAAGAGCCTGCTGGATCAAGAATGTGACCTATCCAGTCCAGCATCCTTTTCACACAGTGACGAACCAGATGCCTGTGGGAAACTCTCAAGCAGGACATGAGCACAAGAGCACCTCTCCCCTTCAGCAACTGGTATTCAGAAGCATTATTGCCCCCAGCTGTGGAGGCAGGGCATGGCCATTGTGACTAGCAGCCATCAATAGCCTTTCCAATTCTCTTTTAAAGCCATTCAAGTTGACGACCACCACGGCCATAGGAACATAGTGTGACGTATGAAGACAGAGAGGGTCTATGCCATCCTTACCTTCTGTTCACCTGCTCCACAGGAATTTTGAGGCGCTGGGCAATGTCTTCCACCGTCTCGCTGGTGGCTGAAATGATGCCTACGCTTTTGGCAATGGCTTTGGCTGTGATTGGATGATCACCAGTGACCATGATCACCTGAGGGGGAAAAAGGCCAAATAAGCAGGATTCATTGTCAGAAGGAGCCGAATTAAAGATACGGCTTGTAGCATCTGCCATGGTTCTTTAACCACTCCTAAAAACTGTGTGCATTGCAGAGGGTTGGACTAGATGGCCCTTAGAGTCCCTTCCAACATGCAATTCTATGACCAGCAATGAAGAGATAGAAACATCTGAATGAAATATACCCACTGCTTGTACATAAAGATTTTGCATGGATATTCTCTTTCAGAAATGTATGCATATATCTGCTAATGTGCATTGACATTGCATACATCCTTAATTTCTTTTTAACTTACTATACATTTGGGTGGGGCCTTTTTTAGCACAAACTCACCAGAACTCAGTTCTGGCACCTCTCAGGTGGGTGCCATTACCATTATAAGAGAACAAGGGAGGCGTTCATGGCAAGTTCCAGCACCTGAGTCTATTTCTAGAAAAATAGCACTGCATTGGGGGGGAAGTGTCACAGACATTTTGGCAATCCAGTATTTCCAACGGTGGTGGTTTTTGCAAAGCCTACCTTGATCCCTGCACTCCGACATTTGATGACAGCGTCTGGCACAGTGGATCGAGGGGGGTCAATCATTGACAAGAGCCCCACAAAGCAAAGATTGGAAGTGGGGAAGTTCATGGAGTCAGTGTCAAATGGATAGGTGTCTGGAAATTCCTCCTCTGGCAGGTACAAGTGACAGAAGCCTAGAGTTGAAAATAATAAACAGCAACAACAAAATAATTAAGCAGAGGAAGCGAGAGGGGAGAAAGGACAAACCATCCTATGATAACTAAAGGATTTTATTAGGTCTAATTGACCATCAAATGATCATTATCCTGTCTCTTTAAATAGATTGCCAGCTGTCAAAACAATGGGAGTTACTGATGAGAAAGCAAGTTAAAGCCATTGTGTTTCCTAGCTAGCTATCTTATTTACTGTGTCATGGATAGTAGCTAACACAGCAATGCATGCAAGGAATGCATATGAAAAACCATTAATTAGAATTTATAGTAGGAAGATGTATAGGTTCTAAGCTTTCACTTCAGGAAGCAATCACTAGGAGGACAAATAGCAGATTTAGTCCCTACCCCATGGGTAGGCAAACTAAGGCCAGGGGGCCGGATCTGGCCCAATCACCTTCTAAATCCAGCCTGTGGAAGGTCTGGGAATCAGCATGTTTTTACATGAGTAGAATGTGTCCTTTTATTTAAAATGCACCTCTGGGTTATTTTGGGGGCATAGGAATTCATTCATATTTTTTTCCAAAATATAGTCTGCCCCCCCACAAGGTCTGAGGGACAGTGGACAGGCCCCCTGCTAAAAGTTTGCTGACCCCTGTATCAAACTCAAGAAAATGCACCACGCCAACCACAGTTTATGTATCACTTCCCATGCTCATTTAGCACATTCTCATAACTAAATGCCACCAAGCAGAATGGCCAAAGAGTTGGGGTTGCTTCTCTAGTATCACTGTAGTTCCAACCCCCCAACCCCCCGGATTGTTGCACTAAACACTTTGCCTGCTGCATAGCTCTCTGCACATGTTGTTTTGCAAGTGTTCGGCTCACCTAGGACTCTCTCCCCCATGCCTCCCAGCGCCATGTAAGCCGTCTGGAACGCCTCTTTTCTCTCTGCATCCAGGGGCTCCTCTTTTCCATTAATCATGATGGTGCTGCACTTCTCCAGAATCCTTTCAGGTGCCCCTTTCATCACCAGCAGGAAGCGTTTATCATTGGGGTCGTCGGTCTCGTGGATGGAAAGCTTGAACGCAATGCAAATGCAAACATTGAAACAAGTGCCTAGATCTAATCCTGCCTTTTGAACTTAATGTTCCCAGAGGAAGAATGGCATGGGGGGGGTGTACTGATGTGATAACCGAAGGTGGCCGTCAGATATAATTCTAGACTGTGTTCACATGGCAATTTATTCTGTTTCCCTGACATTTCCCTTACTGGTAATCTCTGCTGTATGTTTGAGCTTTCACACAACATAAAGCCACTTCCAGGAAAACTGTGGAATATAGCACTAGTTTCGTGCTCAACTCCATGTTATTTCCAAATCAGTTTTTTTCTGGAAGCATTTAACATGGCAGTGAGTGCTCAACTTGAGCTATATTCTGCTATATTTCTTGAAATGCCTTTATGTCGCGAAAGCCCAAACTTAATGCAGAAATTAACAGTTAAGGTAACATCAGGGAAATGAAATAAACTCCCATATGAATTTAGCCCTAGTCTATGACAGCCTTCCTATGGTAAATATTCTACCAAGCTTTAAACTACAGTTGTTTAAATATGGCCCATCTTCACAATGTTGCATATGTTCAAGGCAGTTGTTATTTCTGCTGTGTAGAATAGCAATCACAAAAAAAACCACTTCAGAAGAACAAGAGATTTTGTGCTGATTAGCCCCTGGGGTTGCCACTGGAGTTTACATCTTATTTTTGAACATACACTGAATTATGTGAAATTAATAACACACTTCTACTTGAGTATTGCAGCAATGTTTTTTTCCACCACAGACACAAATTCATCAGACTGGTCCTTCCAGTTTTCAGGTTTTATTTTGATAGCTCATGGGGCACAACATTTTCTCTTAGCAGCTCTTAAGAGCTCAGTCTCTTCTCAGACATACAACTTACCTGAAACTTGTTAGTAGAATTAAAGGGAATCTCAGTCACTTTCCTATTTCTTTTCCGGATGTCCATTATATTGCCCATAACAACTTCGGAGAACTTCAGCAGAGCTGTTTCTGAGGCATCTCCAACCACGATTCTCTGGGGGGCATTTTTGAAAATTCAGTTCAGCAAAAGTGTTGCTCAGTGTCATTCAACTAACCAGTGGACATTACTTAGGTCACTTTGTGTTATATAGCTTGCTCCTCTGATTGCATTCTACAGCATTGTAGCAAAGTACTATCATATTTACATAAAAAGAACAATAATTGGGCAAGATTGCTATAATCATCCTTCTCCTCAGGGACTCATGCATGCAAATAAAAGCTGAGATTCTTGAGAATCTCAGAAGAGAGTGAGTTAGTGGCTGTAATCCATGAGAGATCTATAGCTGTAATGTATTCTAAATTGTCTCTTAATATTGTTGTTATAGTAGAGAAATTTCTAATCTTTTTATGGATCTTCTGGAGCAATATGACACTAAGTATTTATGTTCTTGGTTTAAAACTAATTGTTGTCAGTAAAATAAAATAACTTGATTGTTGAGTCCTCATGCTCTACCTGTAGATTAATTATCTCAACAAATGCATTGTATGAGAATTCTCATCTCAGACCTTTGACTGGAGTATGAACTGTTTTTAAAATAGAGAAAATGCTTTTGATCCAGCTGTTTACATTATTGAAATCACACATAAAGAATGAGAGTGCAATGTGGTATGTTTGCTTGGACCGAAGGCCTGTTTATTGCTTGTAAATTAAATGCCTGAAAGTTCTTGTGCTAGCCTGTTTTCTCCCAATAGTGGTGTCACCATACCTATTTCTGTCACTTTAGAAGGAAACAGAACAGGGCAGATGCTATATGCAACTTACAATAAAACATCTGTTTCCAGATGAAACCCCTGGAAACCCATCAGACAATCCTCTTAAGAAAGCAGCTCTCATTAAAGTAGTAAATACCTTCATGATAGGTTCACTGTCCTGTCCTGGTCTGAATTCTGCCCGATTGCAAAGGGCTACAATCCTTGACAACGCCGTCCATGTGCCAGATGTTTGGTCAAAAGTCTGGGCTGGAAAGAAAGTGGTAAAAATTATATAACGTTTCAGCAGACAGTTGCCCCACATTCTAAAATAGGAAGCAATCATGTTGTTACTCCTCCCATTCCAAAGCCTCTTGACTGATTATTTACTTGTTTGATTTTCACTGGTGTCAGCGGAGAAGATCTCATTGTCAAACCAAAGGTGGGCAACTGTCATCCTGTTCTGCGTAAGGGTCCCGGTCTTGTCAGAGCAGATGACAGAGGTAGAGCCCAGTGTCTCAACAGCTTCCAGGTTCTTTACCAGACAATTCTTCTTGGCCATCCTCTTCGCAGTTAAGGACAAAGCTACCTATAAATGTGGGAGAAAGCACAGCACTTTAATAGTTGAAATAAATAAAAGCAGTGAAGCATTTCATACAGCTCCATACAAAGGATGATGGTAGGCTTCTCTTCCTGCTAATCCCACCTGTACACATTTTATTCTTGATCACACCCATGCACATATCAGTTCAGCAATGCTGGCATCTGCAGAATGACTCAACATGGATGAGAAGATCAGAACCTGACATTTTATGTAGCAAGTGTTGATCTGCTTTTATGTCAACAAGCAGGAGGGTCTAATGTACTCATGCCCTGCTTATGGGCTTGCCATGGGCACCTGGTTGGCCACTGTAAGAACAGAATACTAGGCCAGATGGTCCTCATTCAACAGAGCTTTTCTTACACTCTTATCATGTAACAATAGTATGTCCAAGGGGCCCACTCTTACATGAATAACACTGCTAGATGATTTCCTCACATGTACAGTATCCATCAGAAAAATATAACGCAAAAGTACATAATATAACACAAAAGAGCATAAGTAGAGCCTGCTGGATCAGGCCAACGGCCCATCTAATCCAGTATCCTAGTAAGATTCATCAATAGCAGATCCAGGAAAAAAAAAGCATTCACAAGTATTTTGAATGGATATTAAAATAGAGACAAAACAAAGAAATGCAACAAATTAGCTGAAAACATTGAGAGGTGATGAATATATAACCAAAGAGACTCAGCAGAAGTTGTGGGTTTAGACAATGGAGGTGTTTTTATCCAGGAACCCAAAGCCACTCTCCACCATTGTTCCAATAGATAGTGACAGCCTTGCCCATTAATAATTATGCACCCATTTTTCATAATGTGTTGGAGATGTAGAGGTCCTATGCACCCCAATTTCAGCAGCATGTACTGTCGTGAATTGTTATGCATGAATACAAAGGTACTGGTGGCTGTTGTGAGCCAGTACTTACAGTGACTGTGGCTAGCAGCCCCTCGGGCACATTGGCCACAATAATGCCAATGAGGAAGATGATGGCCTTCATGACAGTGTACTTCATGGAGACGGAAATGATGAAGAAAACCACCCCTATGGATATAGCAACAGCAGCCACAATATGGACAAAGTGCTCTATCTCGATAGCAATAGGCGTCTTCTCATTCCCAACACCAGAAGCCAGCGAAGCAATGCGTCCAATGATGGTGTTGTCACCTGTGTTGATGACCATGCCAGTAGCAGTTCCTAAGGAGAAAGTAAAATATTGATTATCAACAAACAAAATAATTTTTATTCATTTGAACACCAATGCCATTTAAAAAAAAAACAAAAATTTAATGGTACCCCCCAAACTTTCCAATTAATACTCCTGACTCTTTTTGATAATCCCGTCTTCTACTCTCCTTGATGTCTTAGTTCAGTCAAAAATATACCTTTTTTTCTTTGGGCAGGTCAAATGCTGCTTGGATTTCTGACTAAAAAAGACAATGTGGGCATGTGTGTGTCATATTTTAAAATAAAATCATTGACCTGAATCCAAATTTTCTTTCCATGAACAGTTTACGTTATTGGAGCAGGGCTTCCCCACCTCACCATTCCCTCTGCAGGGAATTTCCTTTAGGAGACCAGGAGATGATTGGTGTAGGATATGGTTGTGGGGTTTGAATTGCAGGTTTGAATGGATAAGCCAATGTTAGGACCCAAGACAATGTTTTTACGTTGTACACCAGCTCCACATAACTGCATAGCTGGAGGGTAATGTTAGCATGTTGTTGTTAGTATTAATAGGGCACCATCAATGTACACAGTTCTTTCCAGGATGTCAACCTGAACTTGCTCCCTTCCCCAGAGATCTTACAATCTAAAATTCAACAAATGGGGAGGCAAGAAAGGAAAGTCAAGAAAATGGTCTTAACAGAGTATGCCCATGCTTTGCAATATACACAATTGGGCTTAGTTTCATATGGTGATGAGGACTAAATGGTGGAATATCAGAAGGAATGAGAAAATATTGATGTTAACTCCTGCTGAAGTAGCTTTTACATAGGCACAAAATATGTGGAATTTGGATGGAATGGCACCACTGGGGGAGCCACTTAAATACGTACCTTCCAAGCAGGTTGTGGAATAGAAAGCAATGTTTTTGGTCTCCAGTGGGTTTTCATGAGTGTATTCACAGGAGCGAGATTGTGGCTCTGACTCTCCAGTGAGGGAAGAATTATCCACCTGTGGATCAGTCACAAACATTCACATTATCACATTATTATTATTGTAGTAATAATAATAATAATAATTTTGACCAGATTGCGGGAGGCAGTGGAAGATAGGAGTGCCTGGCGTGCTCTGGTCCATGGGGTCACGAAGAGTCAGACACGACTAAACGACTAAACAACAACAAATAATAATAATAATAATAGTGGTAGTGTGCATGGCTATCATCACTGCAAAGGCAACAGGGACACTTATGATGACTGAATCACCAATAGAGTTCAGCTGCAACAAGTCACTTAAAGACTTACAGGTGAGGAAGCTGTGACCCTCCAGATGCTGAACTACAACTCCCATACTGGCTGATGGGAGTCAGAGTCCAACAACATCAGGAGGACCACGTATTTCTCATCCTTATCCCTTTGTTCTGGGACTCATGCAGGATCTCATCCATGATACCTTTTTCTCATGAGGATGAATATGCAAATTATTAATTCTTAGACAATTTGCATCCATGAAGAACAGACTGATTTTAGGTTTATTGACCTGGTAAGAAATCCCAGATGTGTTTGCCACGCATCCTATTCACCTAACATTGTTAGATTAAGGTGTATTCACTGCAAAATGGGGATACTAGCAAGCATATAATACATTACTCATTATGCAGCAGCTTTTCCCGCTGCCCCCTTTTAATTTATTCTGCCTGGGATTGACTGACTGACACGTAAAGAAAACCAAACTTTAAGTAAATGATGATGCTGCTATCACAATCACTGCAAGATTACGTAAACAACCCATACAACAAGCAGTGATTATTACCATAATTTTAATGATCAAGCTCTTTGTGGGAGGACAATTTCTCATACAAATTCAAAAGGAGTGTCTAATTTTAGACTCTTTTTCACTTAGCTGTTGAGTTATCCTTTCTTTGAACATGCCTCTTCATGTCCCTGGTCTGTAGAAAGAGGCTGGGTTTTCTCTTTCTCTTTTCTTTGGCTCAAAACTGAGTTTTGTTTTGTTCCTACCTTACAGCCCTGACTGGTGATGATCCGGATGTCGGCTGGTATCCTGTCTCCACCTTTGATTTCCACAATGTCGCCCACCACCAGTTCTTCTGCCGAAATGTCTTTTTTCTCTGCATCTCTGAGGACAAGGGCTCGCTGGTAAGAACAACCAAAATGAAACAGATAAAGTCAGGTGGAACTCTTAGACTGATTATTGTACACATGCAATTGCTGGAATATATTCAGTGGTCTGAGCTACTTGGAGATCTGCATATGGTAACTATGAGCAGGATTCACTTAAACAATTGTGCTAGCAGGAGCCAGCACATAGACTCCTCCAAATGCAATGGGGCTTCTCTCCCCACTTTGCCCCCCCAAAAAACAGCTGGGGGGGAGGGTCTGGAGAACGTCCAGAGCAGTCCACAAAAGAAGGAGAGGGGACATCCTTCCATTAGGCAACCTGAAATATTTGTGCTGACAACACGAGAGGAAGAGTGTGATGCTGGCTTCCAACCTATATGTCCTACTTTACATTGAAGTCTTCTGCATGGAAGACTATCCAGAAGACATTTCCTATTTGATGGACTGTCTGATCTAAGTCAGGTTTGAAGATTAAAAACTCCAGGAAGGAAGAGTGGAGCTTGAAGGTGCCCTTTGACATTTAGCAGCTGAACAGCAGCAGGCTGAGCAGGCGCACAGGGGACCTAGTCAATGGTTTTCGCCGCTATGCTGGTATTGTTTTCCCATTAAAATTATGGTGACACTTTCTAATTTTTCATCTATATGTATATGATGGAAACCTGTGTTCTCTTTTGTCCCCCTTGTTGGGGTCATGCATTTCCTCTCTTTAAGCAATGTGGCCACCCTAATTCTACCATTTTGTCTGCACATTGGTATGTTCTTTAATATGGTGGCAAATACCCTTTACAATGACTACCTGGTTTTTAAATACACTGATATTCTGAGCACTACTGAAGACTCACCTGTGGGATCATTTTACCAAAGCTGGCCATGATGTTCGTGCTTTTAGCTTCTTGATAATAAGCAAACATCCCAGTGAGGACCACCACCAGCGCAAGGACCACTCCCAGGTAGAGCTGAATGGTGAAAAGATGATTCAAGTTAGCTTAAAAACGACAACACTTTTACCATTTCCCACTTGGTGCAAAATAATTTTGTAACTGCACTCAAGAAACTGTGTGAATGAACTTGTTTAAACAGCAAGGAGAAGAGCAATGCCTAGCATATTATCAGCGAAATGCCTCAGATTTATAGGCAAGACATATTGCACAAACATATGGAGGAAACATATAGCTGAATGACAACAGGTGGTTTTCAAGGTCTGCACCAGGTCATTCAATTCTGACCAAGATACATTGGTTTAGAAATTGTCCATACAATTGCCAAAGCTTATATAAGAATTTCAGACAGTTATTTAATCAGGAATGTGAAAGGGTGTTTTTTCTTAATTTTTGCAATGGTTTTCCATTGGGGGGAGGAACGGTCCCCTACCATTGGGTGGAATGAGACTTAAGTGTCATGGAGGGGCGGTAAGTTGTTAATTTATTATGGTTTGTTCGGTTTTTCACATTTTTTTCCAAGGTGGCATATACATGGCTCTCTCTTTCTCCTCATTTAATCCCCACAGCAACCCTGTGAGATAGCTTAGACTGAGAGGAAGCGATTGGGCCAAGGTCACCCAATGAGCTTCATGGCTGAGTCAGCATTTGAACCAGGGTCTCCCAGGTCCAAGTCTGGCACTTGTAGGATTTCCGCCTCAGGTGCCCAAATTCCTTGAGTGGCCTTGGGTACCATGCTCCTTGACTTGGGGGTAAAGAGAACCATGGATGACACCCATGAGAATTACAAAAAGCACAATAAACCTGCAATAATACTTACATTGTTAAATGCCCCGGCATCATGATGAAGATACTGAATCCCGAAGGCAATCCAGCACAGTATAGCTCCAATCCACAAGAGGATGGAAAACCCTCCTACCATCTGCTTGAGAAACTTGATGATTTCAGGAGTAGATTTAGGAGGAGTAAGTGCATTGGGGCCATCTCGGGCCAGAACCTCTGCAGCTCTTGAGCTTGGAAGACCCTGTAGGAGAGACAAAGCGCATAGTTGGGATTAGGGATGGAAGAGGATCTTCTGCTCTGCCAACTTTTTGCAGCAGATCTGACACTCCCAAACATGCTTGTCATTGGAAACACATTACATACTTCCCCGGATTTTGCAATGCAGGAAAGGGAGCAAAGAAATGTGTGTTTTGCATTAAAAGTGTGCATAAAATGCAACATTTTTCAGAAAATAAAAAGCATCTGTGTATAAATTCTGACAAAACACAGACTCTTTGTGCCTTCATTAACACACACACACACACACACACACACACACAAAGGTACTAAATGGGCATTTGAATGAGTGCCAGCAGAACTGAAAAGGGGTGGCATTATTAGGTCATTCAGTCCATTCTTAGTTTAAATTAGAAATCTTGAAAGAGCACAGCCTATGTTCAAAAGTGAATTTAAAGTCCCATAATTTATTTAAAAAAAACCAACTTGACAAAATGGTTGATGTACCCAGCAGTCTAAATGTTAAAGTATACTTAAATTTATGCCCCGCTTCATCCTGAAGACTAAGACCAGATAATTACAGCTGATGGTTGCAATATACCCCATGAAGCATGCAACTGTGCAAATACTATCGGTGCAAACACACCAATACTCTTCCCAGAAATAACACAAATACTGTTTCCAGCACATGCTTGAATTAAGTGAATTATAATGCTTGCTGCCTACTTATATGTGGGTGTGTTGTTAATGGCTGCCTCTTGCCCATATTAACTTACTTTAGTGATGCTTGTGCCATATTTATCTTCTAGTTCTTCAATGCTGAGTTTGTGATCATCCTAAAGCAGCAAAAAAAAGAGAGAGAGATTAACAAGCTTTGCTTTTTTAAAGAACAGCACGGGGCTTTCAGAAATTGTATGCCACAGTCAACACGCTCCAACTGTATTTGCACATTGGAACATTCAGACGCTGGGTGCAGCTTAAGCTTTTTGAAACCCAGCAAATAATTTTTTCTAGTCTTATTAAAACTCTTCAGCTTAATATGAAATTCTGCTGTGCTTTTTGCCCATGCAGCAACCTTTGAGTTCATCTTGAGTTTTGCTTTAGGAAAAATTCAGTGGAAGTCTAGCCGTACTGCTTGCTCAATATGAGCTGGCTGATAACTTGTCACTCTTCCTGTTCAGATGTATCAAGAGAAGAAGATCCGTAGTTAATCTGTGATTGATTGATTTTTTAATACATACTTGTAAACCTATGTGAACCTGTTGGCTTAAAGAGGCATTGCATTTGAGGACAATGGCCCCATTTGCATCTTTAAGATTTAACGCCATCTAGTTAGTTGTGGAATGTAAGGAAAACCATTGGATTAGCAAATCTGAAAGGATATCTTTTTATCTAAGCATCTCAAACAGCTGATTGTACAATCTTTTCTTGGAAAGCACTGAAGGAGAGCCACTGCTGTTGTTGTTTTTTGTAGGCAGCTAGCCGAGTGCTCCTCCATTGTTTTTGTACAACATAATGTGTCACAGGGATTAAGGAAGACTTCTTAATAAAGCTAGCTATGACTTAACTGTGGGGCAAGTCATTGCTCAGTGCTTCAACCCATCATTCAGATCGCATGACTAATCCCTAAGATATGCAGAGATGAAATTAGAAAGCTGCCTTACACCGAGTCAGATCTAGTTCATCTAGTTCAGCACTGTCTGCACTCACTAGCAGGGGTTCTCCTGGGTTTCAAGCAAGGGGACATTCCCAGCCCTACTTGGAGATGCTGTGAATTGGGCTTAGGGTCTTTTGCATGCAAAACACATGCTCCACCACTGAGCTATGGCCCTTTCCCAAATGGCATTTAGCATGACTGGGGGAGAACCAGTGCTTACAAATCACAGCAGATGCTACACTAGAGGTACATAATCATACCCACATCCCGCCCCCCACTGCAGTGAAACTTACAGCATCACATGGATTGACACAAGCACAATGAAAATGTTTCACACAGGTATGTACTTGTAATGGAAGAACTTTGGCACTGGTGCATCAGGAGTTAAGGGTCAGGGTAAGAATCACGTATGTTGTTACTCAGTTTGACATGGCATTCACCCTCTTCTGATAAATAAGAGGTTCAAAGCATTAGTATGAAAAGTCAGGAGAACTGAAACCAAGAACTGACATCTCTTCCGACTTGCTTCACTTTTCAAGCAAATGGTATTGGCCTTCTGATTAAATCTTGGGTGTAGCTTAACAAGACGGGACTTGGCATGAAGGAAGAAGAAAAGCAGAGATTCCACTGATAATTTCTCCATAGCAGGAGGAGGGATTGCACAGCTTTTTCAGAGACAAACAAGACAGTTCCTTGACTGACTGACGTCTTACATCTATTTGCATTTACATAACTCCATGATATTGTACTGAGAGGGCCACTGCACCCTTTCCTGATATGCAGATCTAACATGAATGTTGTCTGGGCAGGAAGGGGCTTTTGTCTGTTCTAGCTGAGTGGCCCATTCCTTGTCATACTGATTCCTTTTTCACTGGGCCACTGTTCTTCTCCTTTTCAACATAGCTTCAGAGCAAGGGAGTGGATCCCTAAAACTCCAGGATCCTCCAGCTGGCTGGAGGTGGCAGCTTAATAAAAGAAGGGTAATGACCCACATTTGCCTACCTAATTGAAATGCAATTAGTCAGTGTTCATAAAATCAGTGTTGAAAGATTAAATGCACTGCTGGTAGAGCAATACAAAACAGTGTGCCTTTGTTGGCCATTGGAGCATGTATTATACAAAGGTTATTAAACGATTTCCCATTCAAGACTGAGAGATCTGCACTACAATTTGTCCCAATTTCCCCAAGAAAACTATTGATTAGGACTTTGGTTTCAGCCTATCTGCTCTGTCCCAGGACAGCTTAACAAGGAAGTATGAAGCAGCCTGAAGTCACTTACCAAGTCCAACTCTTTTTTCAGGTCCTCAGTGTTCTTCTTTTTCTTATTCCCTTTCAAATCTTTGTACTTTTCATCTCCTTTGTCTGCTTTTTCCAAATCCTTTTCTCCACTGATCTCAATAGAGTAGATGTCAAGCTTTTTCTGAAATGCAAATGAGCAGAGATGGGTTGGGTTAGCATTATGGGTTTGTCATAAGGGGGCAGCAGAAATACCCAACAGACAGGGAGCAGGGCAAGTGGTACAATTCCACTCCAGTGTTTCAACCTCCCTTCTGATTTAACATGGAGCATTTCTAAAATTAATTCTGGAATGTGCAGTTAAGCTGAAACTTTTCACTGTCAGCCTTTTTATTATCTGCCTTACTGATATGCACAAGTGAACATGTGATGAAACATAGTGCATGCACTCAGATGAGCCCCATTGGGTGCATCAATATGATCTTTGGCGCTATGTTTTATCAATGCACACATTAGTAAGCTAGGGGGGTAGAAAAGGAAGAACAAAGGTTAGGAAATAAAAGCTGTGGCAAGCCATGCATATGTTCAGAAATCAAAATGGAATTGTGATACATTCCTAAGGCATTGGTGCCTCTCTGAAGAAAAGACCAGGTAATTTGGCTCCTTAATATCCAGAGAGTGTTTGGGACAACATGTTTTTAATAATCTCTTTTTTAAAAAAACAAAACACAAAAAAACCTTTTCAGATTGTTGCTTTCTAAATGATATTCTCATTAGTTCCCAGTAAGCTAACCATCACTGTCGCATGTCTTCCTCCCTCTCAAATAAACACGCACACAACCTTACAAATATTCTGCAGAGCCTGAAATAAGAAATGGTCCAAATTGAAGAAGAAGTCATCTATATTAGAATTGAACTTATTCCACAGAGTCAATAAGCAATGCTTAATACTTTGGATATGTTTAGCCATAAATAATGAGTGACATGAGATTTTAAAATTATCATAATGCTGACCCCTATCTCAGTGAGAAATTCAGAGAGTCAGATTCCAGAGGGGATGCTTTGTTTAGTTTTAAAGTAGAAAATGTCTATGACCAACAGTGTAGACATTATTACATATGATAGTTTGGGGGGGGTGTCACCAATGTGGTGCCCCTTCACCTACAGATGCCTTCCCTGGCACCCACAAGCTTCCCTTCTTTGTCTGAAATCAGTCTTGAAAGAGGCATGTATTGGTAGCCAATAGAATAGGCTGCAATGTGTGTGCGTTTCCCACAACATTGTTGTTTCAAATCACAAATCTTGGCTACTTCTTAGTATTACCTCTTCCAGATAACTCCTGACTGAGCCATTGACCCAACCCTTCTTGTCAATCTACACAAGCTATTGGTAGTTGCCCCACCCATTCTATTCTGCAATGGACATTGCCCCACCCATTCCAATTAATCTGGATGTATAGATATGCCATTGTTCTCTGTTACCTCTTTTCCAATAGCTTGCCCTGCTCCAAAGACTGGCTTCCTGTTTTCATCTCAGCTCATCAACTTTTATATACATAGCTTTCCAGATCATAATTGACCCATAAACTGCATGCTGTTCTGTAGAATAGGCAGCTTATTGGCTGACCCCATTCCTTAGCAGATTCTTTGAGGATTACATTACTGAGTTTGTAAGGCATAGTCATACCCCTGGTGATTGAGGATCAGGTCATAGCTTGCTTATTGGCACAGAGCTGAGCTCAGAACATGTGTGCACTTCAATGTCTTCAGATAACTTGGTTAACATACTTTTAGTAACAATATTAAAATATAAATCGAATTGGTTTTTGTTTTCCCAAACCTATGTGTCTATCAGCTAGACTTGTCCTGATTGCTTTATAAACTTAGGGCCCACTCATACCTGGGCTTATTGTGCTTTGTGAGCCCCTCCTTCAATTCCCCCTCATCCAAGTGGCATTCTTCTCCAACTACTGGTGGCCCATACTTTTTCCTCCTCTTAATTCCAGAGATTCTCTATGCTTTAAAAACTGAATACGAGAGCTACAAAATTTGCATGGGGAATCTCCAGATCTAGGGAGGAGGAAGTGTGGGGTAGAAGTAGTTGGAGGAGAACGCCCCATGCGTTAAGGGAAATTTAAGCAGACACAAAGAGTTCACAATCCACATTAAACTGAGGTATGAAAAGGCTCTAATACTCAGGATTGATTCTCTACCAAATTGGAACTAAAATGACTGCAAGAATTACACAAGTAATTCGATTTATGCAAGTAAAATTATTCTGTTTGGGTTTTCTTGGCATTCCAGAAACCAGCAAAAACATCGGTATCTGTTTACCCTTAACTGCCATCCTATTTCCATCATTTCAAAGTAATTTTCTGGTGCTGCTCCTTCCCAGCCACTTGACTCTCATCTATTTCTGTTGCTTTCTGACTCTTTCCATCTTGCCTGCAGAATAAAGTTTGCAGACTTGCTGATTTTGGACAGCACCAGTTCTATGTTCTACAGCTCCTGGTATACTGTGGGTGCCATTTTGATATTTAGTTAGCAGAGGATAGAACAGGCTTCCTCAAACTCGGCCCTCCAAATGTTTTTGGCCTACAACTCCCATGATCCTTAGCTAGCAGGACCAGTGGTCATGTAGGGATGATTGTAGTCTCAAAACATCTGGAGGGCCGAGATCAAGGATGCCTGGGATAGATATCAACAACCTTGTGCACTGTGGGATATTTCCCACTACAGTGGTACCTCGGGTTACATATGCTTCAGGTTACAGACTCCGCTAACCCAGAAATATTACCTCGGGTTAAGAACTTTGCTTCAGGATGAGAACAGAAATTGCGCAGCAGTGGCGCGGCAACAGCAGGAGGCCCCATTAGCTAAAGTGGTGCTTCAGGTTAAGAACAGTTTCAGGTTAAGAATGGACCTCCGGAACAAATTAAGTTATTAACCCAAGGTACCACTGTATTAAGGTGGGCTCTCTCTTTTTTTGCAATTGATCAACTCAGCTGAATGGCCCTTTAAACCCTATTTGGTATTTTAATCTCTGGAATAATTCATGAGGATTCTTTTAACTTGACACCTCATTCACATTTCTGATAGCTTGATTGTTGCTGGGGAAAACAAATCAGTTTAAGCACTCTTGGTTTTGGAATGCGACATGCAGCAGAATCATATAGATTTACTCAGAAGTAAGACCTAGTGACCTCAGGAAAAGGACCAAAGCTCAACATCTGAACATGTGCTTTCCAGATCCCATGGCCAATCCTTAACCCCTCCAGTTAAGAGAGTCAGGTGATGTGAAATGCATCTGTCCTGGAAAGCCACTTGCTAGTCAGAATACAAAATACTGGGCAAGCAGGTGAACAGCTTGAGAACACCAGATTTTGTAGGGTTTCTGGTGCTAAACTGATATCAGCCTGATCAGCAATCTTTGATAGAAATTCACTAAGAATCCTGTGTATGTGTAGTAAATTACAAACACACAGAAACCTGTTCCTCTCCTCCCATCCAATTATAAAGGTTAAAGTTCTACACAAAGATGCAGAAGAATTTAATCTCTTACATCTCCATATGAAATAACTTTTCCGTTTGCCACAGAACTAAGACTGCAAGACTCACGTCTACTCAGAAGTAAGTCCTATTGAAGTGGGATTAGGATTGCAGCCTAAGGGTTGCCTCCAATGCTAGTTCTCCTCAAAATAGACTCACTGAAGTTAATGAGCCTATTAATTTCAATGAGTGAGTGGAACTCAGTTGAATACATCCCTGACCTTAATCAAGAAATCGTCTTCTCTTAAAAATTTCCCAAAGTATTGGGAAAGAAGAGGACAGGTATATTTCAATTATTAGAAGCCAACTGCTCTCAGAACTGAAGAGAAACCAGCTATGGAATATCTGCTGTCTTTATCCCTTATTTACTCACCTTCCCCATGGTAGACTTCCTCTTTCTTTGATCTAGTGGAGCAATGGATGTCTCTCAGCCAAATAAATGTACCAAGTGAAGGCTCTTGGGTGAAAAGTCAAGACCCAATGAGCTCTGAGAGGGAGCAATGCTGGAACACAAGCTCACAGGGCTTGCAGCCTCCAGGAGAGTTAATGTTAGCTGGCTTCTTGTCCACACTTAAGCATCCTCTAGACAGGACAGGCTCACCTTCCAGAGCCCTGTGGGAAGAGACTGCTGCCTGCTGGCCCTTATGAATGTTGCCAAGCCACACCTCTTTAGCTGTCTGAGGCCAGCCCATTCTCTGCTTCATCAAATAGTAGGTGGAAAAATACCTCAGTAATGGGCATATGAGTTCCAGGTCAGGGCTTCTAATTATGCTTTGGCAATACTTTTTCCTCCACGAGGAAGCAAGGGCAACTTAGCATCTTTTGATCTACTCATGAGCTTCCTTCAAGACATCACTTTGACTCCCTGCTTTGTTCTAAAGGAAATCAATCCCCACACTTCATTGCCTTCCTTTCCAGATGTGCTGGGACTACAAGGAGAGAGGAGAGATGGCTTAAAGTAATTTGTAGACTGTCATAGGTCTGGCAACACCTAGCTGGGCTCATCTGCATCATTGTAATTCAAGATACTTAGAAAATGCTAGGATTCTTTTTGCAGCCCTTAAATCTTAAGAATGCAAGCCACAAGACTTTACAAGAGCAAGCAATCACAAGGCAGAGTTATATATTTTTTCAGGGTTGATGTTGTAGCATTCACCAGCTCTCTAAGAGGAATGGAACCTGCTCCGGGTGGGGGAAGATTTATTACTTCTTTTAAAACTGAGTGATGTTTATCAGCAAACCAGGAAAGATCAGTTTCCTAAAGTCTAAGACATTTATGCTAAGGCAAGAGAAATCAAGTAAAAGTGGAATGAATGTTTTGTTTGCAACAGAACAATCAGTGGGAAAGAAGAGTCTAGCAGATTTCCTTATTTCTTATTTCAGTGTATACCTACTGGGATTATAGAACAAAAAATGCTGTTTGTTGTGTGAATTGGGGCTCTTTTGCATTTTCTCAATCTGTTGCTGATTAGTTGCCTTGGGGCTCCCCAAGTTTTATGACAGAGGGAGAAAAAAATATGTCTCTGTCCATTATTTCCAAATTCAGAACTTTATAAACCTCATTCACAGGGGTAGCCAACATGGTGCCCTTCAGATGTCGGACTACAATTCTGATCATTCCCGACCATTGACCATGCTAGCTGGAGCTATTGGGATTTGTAATGAATAACATCTGATAAGCATCATATTATCTACACCTGCTCTTTCATGGTCCCCTTATTCTTTAGTCTAAACTAAAGAGCCCTCAAATGCTTTAGCTTTTACTTATAGGGAAAGTTCTTCACTGTCCCAATCATTTCACAATTCAGTTATGTTCATATTTGTGCAGAAGACACTGTGTTCATTGAAACTTATTCCCAGGGAAGGATTGTAGCCTCAGTTGTGACTTTCTCAACTCTGCACTGTTTCTGAGATGGGGCAACTAAAATTATACCGAATATTCAATATATCATTGGTGTATTGGTTCAGGAAGAGCAGATTAGGTTTGCATTAAAATGTGAGCTGAGCTGAATTAATTCCTGGATTTATACTAAGGTATTGTAGCATCAATAGTTCTATCACTTTCACCATCAATATCCTCATTAATAACTACATAATGTAAACTCCATCCTTGTCTGTTTCACTTCTGCTGTAAACTGCATGGGTATTTTTCTCTGAGCTGTCCACCATGACCCCAATCTCTTTTGCAGGAAATATACATGTCCAATTTAGACCCTAGAAATGTATGAAATGAGGATTTTCCCTATATACTTCATATATATGAAATAAGTCTCATTCTTCATTCCCATACATTGATTCCCTTTTACCTTTCTGTTTGCTCATTCATATGGTGTTGAGACAACTTGTGGAGTACTTCACATCATGAGAATTTGGTTATTTCACTGCTCACCTTTGACTCCAGATCATTTTTTAAAAAAAACCCACTGATGATACTTGGGAACCCTTACTGCTTCATTTCCTCCTTTGTAAACATTGCCTGTTGGTTATATAATCAACCTCTACCAATTTACTTGGGAAAGAGATTAGCTCAACAGATCTGTAGCTTCCTGTTTCCTAGTCCTCTGTTATGGAAACTGATTTTGATCATCCCCTTGGTGCCCCACTAAGTCATGTGGGGGCTTACAGAGACCATTACCTTTCCAGTTGTGGCACCTTGCTTGCAAAAATATCTTCCAGGGAAGCTTTGGGCAGCTCAATACATTTTGCGGCCTTAAGCAAAGGAAAAGATGGTATCACTTCTCCATTACATGTACAGAAGCCAATTGGAGTAGAAGCTGACTCTTACATCAATGGTAGTGACATCACCGCATCTGTGAGGACAGCAGACTGTTGGCCACACAGAGGGGAGCAGTTGGGGACTGTAACTGCTACCCACACAAACACAGCCTCAGCAATTTGTTCCTCAGTGTCTTCCTTTGCATTCATTATTCTTATCTTTCTTTCTTTTTTCTTTTTTGGCCAGAATTCTTGCTCTTTTTAATTTCCTTCATTTGTACAAAACATACCTTTTAACAAACGCACGGCCTTTTATAGCTTCCTTATTGAGCTATGCTGGTATCAGGGCCTGATTTAGGTCTGATGAGGCCCTAGGCTACTGAAGGTAATGGGACCCTTTATATGTCCAGCTGTCCTTTGTCAACAACAAATTGTCTCTGTTTTTTGTGTTGAATATATGCTATATGGTAATTTATGGACCTAATAAGTATCTAAAGCCACATAACAAAATACATACATCATAGAAGCCTACACAACACAAAACACTGTTGCTGTATGTAGGTTTTATTTTATTTGTTTTTTATCTTATATTTTGGAAATGTACATCCAGGTTTTTTTCCTTTAAATTTTTTTGGGGGCCCCAGGAGAGTGGGGCCCTAAGCTATAGCTTGTTTAGCTTATATGTAAATCCGGCACTGGCTGGTATCCATGGACCCTTTTTACTCATGCTATCTAGGCTTTTGTCATATTGTTTTTAAATAATCTCCTGGCTTCCCGAAGAGATTCAACACTCTGGACTTCTCCTTCAACTCCTTTTTAACCCACTCACTTATTTTAGAGAAATCCCATCTTCTGACATTTCCCCTTAATATTCCCTTTACTGGTAATTTCCAGTGGTGAATTAATGGTGATTCCCAGCTCAACAGTTACATCTCTAATAACTGGAGCCTGGGTACCACTCTCTATAAAATGAATGTCCATCTCCTCTTGCTAAGTGTTCTATAGGACAGTGGGACACAGGTGGCTCTGTGTTCTAAACCACTGAGCCTCTTGGGCCTGCCGATCAAAAGGTCGGCAGTTTGAATCCCCACGGCGGGGTGAGCTGCCATTGCTCTGTCCCAGCTCCTGCAAACCTAGCAATTCGAAGACACACCAGTGCAGGCAGATAAATAGGACAGTCATTTAGTGTATCTGAAAACCATGACAGTCTTTTTTCTTCTATCCTCCTCCTCCTTGAGAGTATACACTTTCAGAACCCCATCTCTGTAGGATCAGTTATCTCAAACCAGATGTTTCTCAATTCCCATTGACTCCCTCACTCCAATTTGGTTTAAAAGCTGCTTTCTATCCATTTGTTGTTGTTGTTGTTAGCACCAAAGGCCTAGTTCCATTTTGGTTTAGGTGAAGCATCTGTCCTTTGTACAGCCTGTTCCCCAAATGTTCTCCAGTGCCTTGCAAATCTAGATCCCTCATCCTGGCACCACCGGCTCGTCCTTGGCAGTGGAATCTTGCGGCTCTTCCTGACTACTTGGTCTTGCACACGAAACAAGTGATAGCTCCGAAAATGCTATGTTGAAGGGTCTTTTCTTCAACCCTTTACCTAGCAACCTAAAACTGGTTTCCAGGATCCCTTGATTATAATGTTCAATGACTAGGCTGATCTATACAATGGTTGCTAACTCCTCCTCCGAAAGCAACAGCTTTGCACAAAACCATGATAATACAGATGTGAAACGGGGGGGGGGGGAGTGTTAGTCCAAATAAACTTAATAATACCCAGGTGTGCACTTATAATAAATGGAACCTTGTGAATATATGACTGCATATATAAAAGAAAATGTTCTGAATCAGATAAAAAGTTTACAAAATTGAAAATAAAATACCGGAAGCTGACATTTGCAAACCAAAGCTAACTTTTTAAGCTATACCCATTAGCTATTATTTGTAAGGAACTCACAAGCTGACTTTCTGCATGTACATATGGCAAAATAAACTTATGTGTATTCTTCACAAATGCCGAGGTACAAAGAGGTAATGTGGGAAGGAAATGTTAGGTGACTCTCTTGAATCCTCCTGTCTGCTGTTAAATAGAGTTTCAGTTCTCTTCTGAAACACCTATCGATCTTGGTGAAATCAAGTTGGATCTATAATTAGCCAAAACCAAATTAAATGCAAATTATGTATGCATGAATAATGGTATGTGAATGAGCTGGTGTTCATTTCTTACTTCCCAAAACCTGATTCACACTTTCTAAATCCCTCGGTATGATTCAGCTACCACTGAAATCTTACCAGAGGTGATGCAAGAAAAATGTGTGGGTGAATGAATGAATGAATCCAGTTTAACATAACTTATTTGGATTAAGTTGGGTCCTCAGTGTGTGTATCGATGCTGAAGTAGGGTGCTTTCATAAGAAATTGGATGTGCAACTCTCACAGCTATCTAGAAAAAAATAAACTCTTCCCCAAGCATGCGTTATTTTAATGTGTTAAAACTTTTGCATCCCTAAATCATTTTAATCCACGTGTTAAAAATCCATGATAATATGAGCATTAACCAAACAGAGTTTTAAAACCCAGTGAGAATAAACAGAAGAGCACAACAGGAAATTGATAACTAATTAGATTCAGGAGCAGGAAGCAATCAATAGGAACAGCAAAGCAGTAACCTTTCAGACCCAGCAAGTTCCATAGACTTTTTGAATAGCATTTGGTTCACCTCTCATCTGGAGACATCAACAGATATTTACAATATTTACAGGTACAGTGCTTTGCTACATTTATTCTTATTATGCCAACTGTGTCAATCTGTAGTATTGTTTATGGGCAGCACTTATCAGGTGACCTAGCCAATGTGTGTCTCTAAGTGATCCCTTCAGCAACCAGATATGTCACTGTTGCTGGTTGCCACTAACACCTGCTTGGCTCCAA